AGCCGGCCCTGAGCGCCGGCCGGTTGGCCAGCACTTTTACAGAAGGACTAAACACCCTGATTATCAGCCACCTGAGCAGAACGCAGTGAAACGCGCTCGGTTGAACGGCTGCAGCAGAGTCCTGGTAAGTGCCAACTTACTGGAAGTACTGGGGTGCCCCCACAGGAGGGGGGGAGTTAGCCACCTTCACTGGCCCACAGACGAGGTGTTTCTGAGAGAGAGGAGGAGAGAGTGAATCCTGGGGCAAATGGCTCCCTGACCTTTTGCACTTCACCAGCCGTTCAGCTGTGCTTAGATCCAGGGTGATGGGCACCACACACAAACCTGAGCCCCGGCTCTGAACGGATGGTCCCAGACCGCTGTAATGTCCCAGCTTATTCAGTCAAAAGAAACCAGCCGTGCTGTGAGTGATTCGTCTACCCCCCTCCTCCGATGCCCTATCACCTTAGCATCAAGGTCTTCGGGGGCAGGGACACTGCCTTTCTCACCTGTAGTGCTCGGCCAGAAGGGCAGGGGGAGGCTACAGAGGAGGAAAAGGAAGGTTTTCAAGGAGATAAGGTCCCCTTTCACCATGAGTTCTTCCTGGGGGAAATCGGAGGGAGCCATGCTCAGACACCCCTGCCCCCAACCCAGACAACTTCACACAGCAACAGGAAACACTTTCCCATCCTTGTCCTCTGCTGGGTGCTGCCATGGGAGGCAGCAATGGGGGAGTCAGAGACATGCCTCACCTGCAAGGCTGTGTGAGCTCCCAGGTCCAACATCCTCCAGAGCAAATCCACCTGCTGCTGCTGAAACTCGCCCTCACAGCTCACCACATGCACCACCCTGCAGCAGCCTCCCGGCCCCGTGCCCTGCAGCAAAGCAGCAGCCTGGTTAGATGTGCTCCCACCAAGCCCAGGAAGGAGCAGGGCAGGCGCTCTGGGTTCCCTGTTTACCAGAGCAGCAGGGTTACTCACCGCACAGCGCAGGGCCATCTGTCGCAGCTCTGCCAGGACCTGCAGTTTCTCCTCAGTCACTGCCAAGGAGGAGGAGAGGACTCAGAAAGGGAGGTACAGGTTCTTTGCACCCTGTCTCCACCCCAGCTGTTATTGCCTCACTCAGTGTCCTTTGGGGCCATGACTTGCTTAAGGCTGGTGCGCCAGAACCAGGAAAGAGCAAAGGGAGTGGAAAAGGGGGATTTGAGACCAAACGCCCCTTGTTTTCTGTATGAAAATAGAGCAACTGCAGCCTTGTGCCCACCCAGTCAGACAGCAAACGTTAAACGTGTGACACTTACCAAGACACACATCTAGGTTGGGGTCATAGCCCTCCAAGCTCTGCTGCGCCAGGAAGTTTTTCAAATGCACTTTAAATATGACATCATCAGCCAGCCTCGTCTGCCCTGGCTCCGGTCCTGGGACTGTAGCATGAGGGCACTGGCTGAGGACTTGCTTCAAGGCCAAAACATCCTCAGGAATGAATGTCGTTTCCAACTCTGAGGGCCAGTCAACTCTCAGCTGGTGCAGGAACTTCTGGATTCCTTCGTCAGGCACAGCAGGAGCCAGGTGGACATTCATCCTAGAATCAAATACAAACACCATTCACCATGCAGAACTGGTATCAAACACAAACTCCTCGCTCTCTCTTACTCATTGAGCATGAGCCTGTAAAACGTCCAAGGAAGAGCGTTTAAAGAGCTGGAGAATTCAATCCACTGACCCCTGTATTCTGAGCACTTCAGCCAAGTGGTCAGTTACTAGAATGGCTCTCAGATTGCTCAGGCTAAGCATGTCCAGGCTTCTCCGGCTCCGGAGGGGTGTGCAGTTGAGGATGATACTCTGCGCACTTGCTGACTGGGAAGGCTTTGTGAACTCGGCAATAGAATTCAGGACCTGCTGGAAGGCAGCAGGTCTCTGTAACTGAACAGTCAGCCCCAGTGCGGTCTGCTGGCAGCTCTGGAGAGGTGGTACTCCAGGGCATTTTAGTGAAATCACATCTTCTATGATGTCTTTGGGAACCTGCAAGAAGACAAGACAGACATATGAAAAGCTCCTCTAGTAGACACCTTCTTTAATACCAGTGTGCCATCTTGCCAATTCCTCACTCTTACTGACAGAAACTAGCTGGAATCCCACCAATCTAGGTTAGATTCATAAACTTTCAGGCAGTTACTGCAGCCCATGGTAGTAGGCGCTGCTGTCCCTTCGGTGCCCGTTGTGAGCCTAGGACCCCAGTGTGGTGCAAGGGGTACTGCTGGGGGAATTCTGCACCACTGTGCAATGTAGAATTTTGCAGAAATTAACATTGTGCGTGCAGAATTTCCTTTCCTCTGCAGAAATGGGCTGCATGCTGCTAGTTGCTGCTCGCGTCCCTAAGCTCTGCTTGCACATAGAAGACACTGCTGGGGGGAAGGAGAGGGAGCTTGAGGGTTCCTAGCAGCTGCAGTTCTCAGCATGCCCTGAGGGAATGCAGGAAACTCTGCAAGCCTGGGACTGAGCATCGGGCTGTTTCTCCCTCTGGATCTGGGGGGGAGGTGGAGGAGTGTCTCAGCAAGGGGGAGCCCTGCAGCTGGGCTCTGGGTGGTGGAGGGGCTGAGGGTATCTGGGCTGGGCCCCCCCCCCATGGTTGGGATCTGGGAAGGAGGGGGTTCAGGTGTATTGATGGGGGGGCCCTGGTGTCTTCCTCCCGACTGGGCTCTAGGGTGGGAAGGGGGCAGAGAAACTGGAACTGGGTTGTCATAGAGGTTTCTTTAACTCTCTACTTGGGGGGGGGGGGGATTTTTGTGGGTGCCTGTATTGTTACAGACATACTTGCGGACAGGTATTTTGAAATAAATTACCCAAATAACTTAAACGGGGGTGATTATGTAGTGTTATTTTGACAAATAAAATTTGCAGAATTAGGCAGCGTTTTAAAATATTGTGTACAGAATTTAATTTTTTTTAGCACATATTTTTCAATTCTTTGTCACAGAATGCCCCCAGGAGTAAGGGGGGGGGCATGCCATTCGAGGTGATTTTGAATGAGAAGTGAAAGAGGTTCTAGTTACTAAAAGTTCTTAAGATACATTTTGCAAGATTCAGGCTGTTCACTGAATAAATTCCAGTTTGGGTTAAATTCCCCTGCAGCTTTCACACTTTCCTAAGGTTTTATTTACCTCTCATGCAAAATCGGTATGTAGGGTTGCTACTTGCGGGAAAACGGTTGCTGTGTCCCAGTGTGGAGCTGGCCCACGCGCTGTCATTTACACATAGTGCCTGTAATCAGCACACTCCACAACTGGTCCTAGACAATGTGTTCTCCTCAGGGTCACCCCCTGCTCTGCAGCCCCCTCGCGGAATCCCCCACCTGCCTGTTTGCCTCAAACTCAGGGCTGAGCCCC